AAAGCATATGAAACTGTAACATGGTTCAAAGTAAAGCAATGATCAAAATAATATTCATGTCTTATTTGGCCAGCATTGTTTTTATTTTTAGCTAAACTTGGGCTTCTGTGGATTTCTCTCCATTACTCTACCTATAAGATCATTAAAATTGGTAACTACTTACTATTACCTAGCAATTCACTGTTATTTCAGAACCATGTCCATTTATTCTATTAACTTTGCTACCCTCTTGAGACTCATAGTGAGATGACAGCAAGGTAAAAATGCAGGCTATCCTTAGGGGAAACAATAGCTATTTTAACAAATAGGCCATAATTCAATACCACACAACAGTGTTTTAATTGCCTTTGGATTTGACAACACTGGAATGCATTGAAACACGGAGCCTATAAATATAACCTTTGTGCAAGAAGTACAACATATAATTCTTTATAATACTTATAAAAACCCACCCATAGGTTTCATGTGTAAATCCTTTGTGGAAAAGTGTAAACTTAACACGTAATTTGCTTTGTTGAGCTATACTAAGACAAAATAGATCCTGAAATGTAGGTTTAGCAAAGAAAGAAGGAATCAGAATGATCGATTCCTAGGGAATTAATGGGATTTTCAGATTTCAGGTTTTATCTTTTATAGAAGAGCTTCTGCTGTCCACCCTTTCATTCCTCCATCCTCCTTCATTTCATTCCTCCTTGCATAGTCTTTAGATAAAGGCAGTCCAGACTAAGGATAGAGGAGGGATGTTAATCAAGGATCCAAATCTGTTTCAGAGTTAGAGGTTGAGATGCAGGAGTGACTCAGCTGGCATCAGCTATGGCAGTCTCAGCCTGTAGGCCTTCAGGAAATGAGTCCCCCAGGCCTGCATCTCCCTCTGTGACCAACTGCCACTAAACTCTGCTGTTTATCTACCCAGTACCAAACAAAGTAAGTAGAGTGTGCTGTTTTCACTGTTCAAAAACCTATTATATCAAGCAAGATAGATAATGTGATAGGCTGGGATCACAAATTAGATATGGTACCTTAAGTAACTTATGAATTAGTATGACAAATAAACAAATGCAAATATATCATTAGAATACAATAATGGATGCTAGAAGAGGTCCAGCAGGAAGCAAAGGGAAAACAGAAATGATTTCTTACAAGAAAGGATCTGGTCTTCTTCAAAGTGGAACAGAAGTGTTCCAGATTTAAAGCGCCAGGATAAAAGCAGAGGGAGCAGCATTTATAAAGGTATGGACTCATTAAAGCAACAGATCATACCTGTATTAAGTGACTTCTATGTGCTTGTCATTTTGGATAGATCTGAACAAAACAAAAATTGTGACTTTGTGGAGATTGCACTTATTTTAGCAAGGTGAAACAATAAGCAATAATTGTTCTATAATAAATTATATAGACTGCTAGAAGTTGAAACTTTTGGAGTAAAAAAATGAGGGTGAGGTAAAAGAATATTTCGAAAGAGGTTTCTACAATGTTATATGGTGATTGGGGAAACCCACACTGAAAACACCGAATAAGGTGAGGGAGCCTGTCCTGGTGGTATTTAGAAGAAGAGCATTTTAAACTGAATGACTAGTCAGTGTTAATGCAGGAAGAACAAGGGTTGCTGTGAAGTAGTGGAGAAAGGGGAAAAGAGGCAGGTGGTGAGGTCAGAGATGAAAAGCAAGGTCAGATCCTATTGTGCCTTGTTGTCCACTGTAAGCATTTCCGCTTTGCATCTGAGTGAGGGGTGAGCATTGAAGGATTCCAAGCTATAACATGGTGTAACTTCCTGGGAATGGGCCATTTAAGAGGTCATTTCTTGATGATAGTGCCTTGGCACTAGCAGGGGAGATGCTAAGAAATGGTTGGATTCTGGATATATTTTCAAGGTGGAACCAACATCATTTTTTGATGGATTGATGTGGAATGTGACCTAGAGGAGTTAAGAATGGCTTCAAAGGTGTTTTTTTTTTTTTTTTGAGCAATTGAAAGGACAGACCTACAATCAACAGAGAGGAGAAACGCTGTAAAACAGCAACACTGTAAAACAGCAAAGAGATGAAATCTGTTTAATTTTGGATATGTAAAGTTTGAGATATCTCTTAAACACCATGGTGGAGGTATTAAATAGACAGCTGCATATATATCCAGAACTCAAGGGAGAAGTAGATGGACTAGTCATTATCTTTGGGATGTTCCAAAGATGGGAGTCCAGGCAAAGGAAGAACCAGAAAAGGAAATAGAGAAGTTAATGAAGTAGGCAAGATGTAAGGCCAAAGGAAAACTCTGGAAATCAAATATACAGATAGTACGTAAAAGAGGAAATAGTCAGCTGAGTCAAATACTGACATTAGGTCAAATAAAATGAGGATAGAGAACTGGCTCTTCTATTTATTGTGTAAAATGAGTGGCTTCTGTGGAGTGGAAAAAATGCAAACCTGATTAGAAGTGGTTAGAGAACAGGAGTTGATAAGTATTTGTATTTTTTGAGGTGTTCTGATGCAGAAGGGAGCTGATACTGTATAGAAGAGGCTACATTAACAGCACATGTTCAGTCAGAACAAAAAGAAGATGAAAATCTAATGACAGAAGGGAACAAAGCTATTAAGACTTTAATAAGGAGCACAAGATACAGAGTAGGCAAGGTCAACTAAGTACATATGTGGATGGAGATGTAGCTTGTGAGGTATGAGAATCACTGAAAGTTCTGAACTTGCTTCAATTTCCTGAGATAACTAGGAAGTCAAGTCACCTTTTGACAGAAGTAGTCATGCCCAAAGAGCTCTCTTTAGGTTCTGATCATGAAGTGACACTCACCATTTGGTTGTTTTCTTCAGGTACAGTTACATGGGTGCACACTTAAGAGGTAGACTTCGGCAAGGATGCGGTTTTGGCAAATGAAACAAGTGAGAGGCAAGGAGGTTGATGTTACATTATAAAGACTCATGATTCACATGGAATACTAAATTGGATAAGGAAGGAAATGAGGACAAGGTGATCAGTTAATTTACTGATAGTCATGTGACTGAATTGAAATTAGATGAGGGAAATGGGCTCAAAAGATAACGGTGGTCCAAGTATTGTTGGAAATTTAAATTATGGAGTGGCTCACATTGGTAATGTGCCCAAGGAAGGTGCAAGACACAATTACTGAATTTTCTAAAAAGGGCAATGAAAGGGCAGTTAATAGAAAAGGGCCATCGATGCCGGTGGTCTCAAACTAAAGAATTATTAGAATTACATGGAGTGAGGTAAAACACCAACTGTTGAGTCCACCCTTGTTTTTAGGTAAAACAGTAATTTTCAGGTCTAAGTTCCCTAGTAATGTTGCTGCTGTGATCCAGGGACCACTGTCTGAATGCCTACTACCCATGTTAAAATAGCCAAGAATTAAGATGGAAGTGCCATCGAGCAACTGTAAGGCAGGAGGAAAAAAAGTCAAGGAATAGATATTTCAATATTTGTTTCTACTCCAACAACTAGGGACAGTGGGTATATATAATGACAGCAAGATTTAAAAGCTGGGTATGGGAATTGGTGCTAAATGATTACCTGAGGTGTACTGAAGTCATCAGGGCAGACAAATGCGGTGAGCTAGCCTCAACAATTTTGGGAGACAGAATATTTGGGTTTTGGAAAGGCAAAAAATTTAACAGTGGGCACTGTTAAGGAACTGCCATTTTAATCTATGAAAATTCTGTACATGCACTATTAACCATCATAAATCAGAGGTGTGCTGTACAGCAGAGGAGGAAGTAGCAAAGAACTGAGTAGTAAATGTTTGTTTTGAGGACTTTCTGGTGTGATGATGTGGTTATAAAAAATTCACGAATCAACTAAGTTTCGGCAAGTTCTTATTACTTCTAAATTATCTCATACATTTATATCTGCTTTGTTTGGCGGAAAAGGTAATACTGCATGAAAAGGAAACTCACATAAGATCATTATTGTAGTCAATACCTTTGTAGTGCTTTTGCTGGGTATGTTTTGAGTTACAAATGTTTTGTGAAGATGCGGTTTCGGTTCCGACCACCTGTGTTTATTGCAGAAGCAGTTATGTTAGGTATTACTTCATATTTCAGAAGAGTAGCTAGCAGTCCCTACTGAGATGCCACGTCTATCACTTAGAAAAAGCTGTTTTCTTTATTAGGCTAAAATAGCAGTGTTCTAAATAGTGAGTAAATATGGGATGGACTGGATAAAGGTTCAGTATTATTACAGGATTAATACTGTAATGCAAGCCATGTTTTTCCCCAATGTACAATCATTTTGGTTATCATCAGCTGGTACTGCAGGCATTATAATGGACTTAGAAATATACCAATAAGTCATTCAAAGATTTTAAGATTCCCAGGAAAAGCCAGTAAGTCTCTGTAATATCCTCAGTAAAATGGTTTGAGAGATTGATACTACTCACTTCTATTTGTTAGAACAAAATATTATTTTGACTCACAAATGATGCTAAGTCTTAAACCCTGTTTAAATATCTATAGGATATTTTATTTTTGTAACCAGAAATTTCTCAAGGTCTTTCCCCCTAATTTTCTTTGCTTTTTTTTTTTTTTTTTAAAAGATTTACTTATCTATGCATACAACTAGGTCAAAGCACAGAGGTATTTGTGTGGGTGAGAGGATTCCCTAGAGACAGAATAGGGAGCAGAAAAGGCTGACTGACTGAAATATAATGCTGAGGGGAGCAGCAGGCAAGACAGGAGAGGTCTGCTGCGCCATGTGGGTCACCTCCAAGGCCGGGAATATAGTGCTGTGCTTTAACCCAGTGTGCCTCCAGGGAGGAAGAAGCCTTTTCCTCCTACTTTCCTGAAGGTGAAGTTAAATATATTTCAAACCTTCAAATCAAAATGTTATCTTCATATATACATGTACCAGGCTGGTATGTATATTCATATTTCTAACTTCAGGTTAAGTACAGACCTGCATTTAGAAATGTATATTAAATCAAAATAAACCCAACTTAAGAGCAATTGTCACCTTCTGTTTAGTGTTTGATAGAGAAAACATTAATTTTGACACATTCATTTATTCAAATACCCTTCTGACCACACATGGTCCAATACACAAAAAGCCCAAATATAATCAGATGTTAAAGATTGGTCTTCAAACATTATAGCCAATGAGCCCACGCTTGCCTATGATCTCGCCAACATAGAACCACATCCACACTTCAGTGGCCACCAAACCGTTCAGCAGAGCTTCCTGAAAAAACAAAAATACCAGATGGTAACTAGACTTATTGTGGCAACCATTTTACAATGTATACAAATATCTAATCACTACAGCACAAATGAAACTAATAATACTATCACATTGAAAGAAAAAAACACAGGTACATGTCCAGTAAAAATAGTCCTTTCAAAAGTTAAATATTTCTTACAAATATAATACTATATTTTACCATCAAGCGATTTAATTTCTAAACCACATAAATTTAATGTACTTTCATAGATAAAGTACAATATTTCTTTTTTAAAAATAAGATATTTAATTTCTATAATTCTAGTATGGGCATTAAATGTTACATAACAAAAGCGTAATTATTAATGTACACTTTTCCCTTATGTTAGGGACCAGCCCCAACTATCAAGGTATCTGGAGGCAAGACAGGCAGGGCCCCAAGGTGAGAAGGCGTTGGTGAGTGGAGATTCCAAAAGGGAAGAGGGGAGGTGATGTTTAAAATTATTCTTTTCCAGGATTAAGTAACAAAGAATGTTAAGAATGCTATTCAAATTAGAGGGTTTAGTCAAAATCAGGAATTACTGAAGTTAAGGTTCGATTGCTGAGAACCCTTGAACTTTCAATTATGTAAGGTAAGTGGACCAGAGCTTATAAATTCTTTCAAAGCATTCTTTAAAGACCTGAACTGACTTAACCCTTTCATTATTAGTTTATGAGACACTTTATGAGCCCTAAACAACCCACATCCTGGAAATAGCTGCCACATTTAGACAGGGCATTCACAGGAAAGGATGGCTATAGGAAGGCAAGTCTCTGAACAGAAATTTCTGTCTGGCCAAAGAAAATCTATAGAAAGTTGAAGGGGTCTATTTCCTTTTAGACATCATTGGCTTCATTTTTTTCCTGGCTTAATTCTTTTCAAGTATTCAATACTTAGTTTCATAGGTCAATATTTTATTGCCTGAAGAAAAAAGTACAAACATATTTGGTTCCAGAAAGCAGTACTTCATGCAAGAACAAATATAAATGTTGAAACTGTAGCTGAAAAGAGAGAGAGAGAAAAAAGCCTTCTACAACACAATTGGGCATTTCTACTTTTAGTACCCGGGGGTGAACTACCCCCCGAAATTAGATAATAAAAAGTTTCTTGAAAAATAACTACATTCAGGATGCAGTTCTAAAAATCAGCAGTAATTAAAAAATTTAGACTTTCTGTATTCTGTGCTGGGACCAAACAAGCAACCATAAAATCTAAATAATAGTTTTAGAGTTTAACTTCATGAAATTCAGTGACTCTTCACATCATATTAGCTGCTTGCTAGGATTTAGTATTCCTATTTTCCATATTGAGTGTGATATAGAATTTTGGCATAATTGGGATAGTTTCAGTACTATAATGAAAAACAAAAATAGCAAAATCAGTCTCTTCTAGCATGCTAACCGAACAGGAAGGGAAAAAAGAAGGTGCCCACTAAAAAACCCTCACTTCTTTGTTATAAGACTAATAGGAAATGAAGACATAAAACAGTCTAGTAATTTCAAGCCAAATGATAAAATTAGAAAGGTAAGTATCTTTTTCAGCATTTGAAAAAGATCACCTCTCATTATGCTGGTTTTCGGCCTCATTGGAAAATACATATATTAATCAAACAATCAGAAAAATCCCAAGGGAAGACATTTTCTATTACGCACATACGTTTCCATTTAGTCCATGGTTACCTTAACTGTGAGCTGTTTGAAGCTACCAGTTTTAGCACTATTGACTATTTTTTTCAAGCTCTGAATAGCTGTAGGGATCTCAGCAGGGGTTGGAGGAACCAGCTCAACCTTGGCATAGCTCCAAAATGTGGCCAATCGAGGTTTGGAGTAAGTCACAGCAGCTGGAAAACAAAACAAAACAAAACAAAACAACCAGGATGAACTCACTAGAGACCAAAAGAAGCAGATGTGTGGGCTGGACATAAATATTTATTCATGCATCACATTCATTCACTGTTTGTACCAAATGTGCACCAGTGTGAAAAGTCAAAGCTGCTCCTTGGTAACAAGAGACTTTTAAAGATGCAAAACACCTGTGTCACCGGGCAGTTCAATCAGGCAGGAAGCCACGTTCAATTATGCCAGGACTTCACTAGTGGCCAGCTAGTGCTGTTACTTCATGTATGAAAGGCAAATCTAATTAACTGTAGAGTTACTAAAAATTGGATTAAAAACAATAAAACCATACTTTCCTGTATAGACTCAAGAACATTTGGAGGGAAGAGGCATAAAAAGGAGGAATGGAGCTATGTAGAATGGCAATCTAAGAACGATATTAAAACCTGTCATACTATTGGCCACATGAGGTCCTCCCTGGTGGTGCAACTGGTTAAAGCGCAGCACTATGAAGCTATCTGCAGTCACTTCTGTACAAGTTCCATCCCTGGCCTAGGAGGTGACGCACATGGTGAAGCAGATCTTGTCTATCTCACTCGCTGCTCCTCTCAGCAGTGTATTTCAGTAGATCTGCCTGTCCTGCTCCCTACTCTGTCTCTCACCCCCTGTACCTCTGTTCTTGTATGCATAAATAAATCAACCTTTAAAAAAATAATATTGGCCACAAATACAGATGGAGTTATATCAATTTTTAGTATCTTCATCAGTGTATCTGCTGGATTAAGTCTTTAACAAAAGCACTGCTGCTCCTCTTTCTTCAAAACACCAAAAATAAAAATAAGACTTGTATGTATTGTCAACAGCAGTCAAAACCTGAATCTATAACCAAACTGAACTTCCTTATGGTATTTACTATTTCAGGAAAAAAGATTCTTCTTCTATTTTTAAAAAGCTGAAGCTGAAGTGGTTGGGGGGGGTCACTTTTTTTTTTTTTAAAGATATATTTTTAAAGATAGAGGTGCAGGGGCAGTGAGAGGATTCACCAGAGACACAGTGGGGAGCAGAACAGGCAGACTGACAGAGTACACTGCTGAGGGGAGCAGTGCACGAGACAGAAGAAGTATGCTATGCCATGTGGATCACCTCCTGGGAGGGGGATCGAACTCATTGAGGCGGCTGCAGCTAGCTTGCAGTGCTGCATTCCTAATCCGTTGTGCCACCAGGGAGGGCCCAGGAAAAAAGACTCTTAACATCACTTGGTGTGAGACTATGGTAGTAAATTCAATGAGAAAGTATTTGGGAAAAACAAAAACAAAAACCTACAAGACAAATGTGAAAAAAAAAAGGGCACAAATTATAAAATATACATAAATTATCTACTGTTCAAAGACAATTATTCAAGGCTTTGGATTTTTCCTATTAATGCCTGCATTTGGGTGTTTACTACTCTCAGAATTACTATCACCATAATCATGGGTAAATCTTTAAGCACAAGTTCTAAGAAAAGTTCTAAATAGAACTAAGCCTATAAAATAAAACTAAGAAAAACTACAAAATGTGGAGCCTTCCAGGTGGCACAAGGGGTTAAGTCTCAGTACTATGAAGCTATCAGCAGGCACTGCAAGTTCATCCCCTATCAAGGAGCTGACCCACATGGTGCAGCAGATCTGTCCTGTTTCACCCTTTGTGCCCCTCAGCAGTGTATTTCAATCTGCCAGTTCTGCTCCTTAGTCTGTCTCTGGTGAATCCTCTCATCCCTTCACACCTCTTCTGGCCTCTCCCAGCTTTTGTATGCATGCATGCATGCATAAATAAATAAATAAAATCTTAAAAAAAATTTATTAAGTTTGTTAATTGTCAACCAACTGTCCTCAAAATCTTCAATACACATTGTATTTCAGTTGGTAAATTTCTCAGGGGTCATGGATTAAAGTTTGAGAACTGCTTCACATGTATACAAGTAATGAAAAAAAAAAGTAATAAATGGTGGATATTGGAGCCAGATTGCTGGAGAAGTGGAAAGTTACAAACAGGTAAGAAAAGAATTAAGAATAAATCTTGTGGTACTGAATTAGAGTTGGCGATATTAACACAAACTCAAGTTCAGCTTAAAACACACATGTAGATGGAAAGCTACAAAAACAATTACACATATGTATACGTATGTGTAAACACACACTACCTTGTAAAGTTAAGAGGGTCCAGAGGAAAAGATACTGTTAGTCCAATAGCAAAGAACATATTCAGTGCTTTGATCATAGTTTCAAAATACAGAACTAGGGTGGCTTGGGAAAATGGTTGACTGGAAGGCTGAGGCAGGAAATATACAGTAGGAGCCTGAAGCAGATTGTGGTACCAGAAAATGAAGGGGTGTGCCAAAGAATTAGAGGTACCAACCTAAGAGTTCTCAATGGTCAAGGTTAGAATGATTTGAGCAAGAAAATAAGTAACATATTATTGGAGGTGTGAGGTCTAATATAAATATACTTGAATTACATTTAAGCATAAGGAGGGCCCTCCCTGGTGGCACAGGGGTTAAAGTGCAGCACTATGAGGCTATCACTAGCCACTGCAGTTTAAATTCAAAACCCGACCAGGGAGCGGACCCACATGGCACAGCAGACCTTTCCTGTCTCCCCTGGTGCTCCCCTCAGCAGTGTATCTCAGTGTATTTCAGTGGATCTGCCTGTTCTGCTCCTCACTCTGTCTCTGGTGACTCCCCTCACCCCTCACACCTCTGGCTTGTACCCCAGTTCTTGTATGCATAAATAAATAAATAACCAAGTGATGAAAAGTAAATTTCACCAGTGATGTTAATGGAAAAATGGGCAAAATCCAAGTAAAGTAGAAAGTTTAGTAAGCTGGAAGAAAAAAACACAGAACCTTCATTTTTCAGGGTGTAAAATTACTGATTTTTGTAAGCTTCTTTGTGCTCTAGGGAATTGCCAGGAAATTTTATTAGATATTTAACAATCACATTTAATACACACAGTATGCTGTAAAGCAAAACATAATCATTTTAACATTCTGGCCCCACTTGGGTTTTTTTTTGAGTACTTCTGAAAGAATGACAATTGTTACTTTTTAATTATTCACAGTAATGGAACATCTGGCTTATACATTCCATAATAAAAGTTATTTTGCAATTCCTCCATATGCACCACCTAAAAATGTAAAAGCCAAGGGGAATCCACTTGAAATTTAAAAAATGGTGCCTCAATTCATCCACAAAATCTGAAGTATGAAGCAGATACACTGTATGTAAAATGTAAGCACTTTATCATAACAACTAGCTTGGGGAATCTCAGTAACGACACTAATTTGATTTCTTTGGGAAACTGTAAATGGGCACAGACTGTGTGAAGTTCTCCAGGAGGAGAAAATCAAATATTTATAAGATCTTAATTAACTGGAAGAAAAGGAGAATAAGAAAATACCAATCACACTAAAATAGGTTCCAAAGTATTACATGCATAAAAGAGATCCTATTCACATTTCAAAATAAAATTTGCACGAAAATTACTTAGCGATCTGTGTTTCAACCATTTATAAAATTGCATCCCATTGAACCAAGTCATTTCCGAAAATTTAACTTACCGCACAAGAATAAAGTGAATAGCTTACTACCCAGCAGACAACCGACAGGCTGGGCTACCACTCAGGGCTGCGACTATTCTGGGTTGTCCTGAAGTATAGCCTGCTTCATTAGCAGGGCTTAGGCATTTTTCCAAACGGGGAAAAAAAAACCCCTATAACGCTAACCTATACAACAAAGATCCCTGCTCACACCAATCCCTTTCTATGTTACGGGGGCAGGGACACCGTCCTGCCCGTCCGTTTAAAATGTCCCTTACCTTAAAGGAAAAGTCTCTCAAGAGGGCGGCCAGGTCAGAAAATAAAGTCAGCGTGAAAGAGTTCACCCACCCTCACAAATTTCCTTGCGCTTCCCAATAACTGAGACCCAGACAACCTCAAGAGGTCGAATTTAGGTACTTTCCCAAGTCTCTGCTCTTCCTTTCCGTAGTTTTCCCACCAAAGCCACAGACCCTCCATGTTCCTTATTCTAAGATCTAAAAGGGCGTAATGGAGGCTGTTGCTTGGCAACTCTGGACCTCTTCACACTCCCCTCGCAGTCGTGGGGAGAATTCTGAATTTCCAGGTTGTCGCCAGAACCCAAGTCGCGGCCAGGCGAGCGCACCGCCACAGAAGAGTCCCCAACTCGCCCGTTTCCCGCCGCCCACCCCCCTTCAGACCGTCCCCGCTCCCGCCTGCCCGTCAGGCTACCACAGCCCGTCTTCCCCTCAGGCCCGCGCAGGCTTCCCGCTCCGCCTGCGAGCCTGCCTCGGTTGTCCGACGCTGCGCTCACCATTAACCAGTGCCGGAGCCTTCTCCGCGAGGTTACGGACAAACTGGGCCATGGCTCTGGGATGGAAACTCCGTGGCCCCAGACCGCCGCCTGAATGTCACCCCGGGAAGGACCCCCTCCCCCCGGAGGACCCTTTGCGCTCCCAAGGTCGGGCTTCCTCTTTCCGCGCCGGTCCCAGGTTTCTGCGTGTCCACCTACCTGTCAGGAATCCAGGAGCTAAGTTTATTTTCTTCAGTCACAGAAGAGAAAGTGGACACGAAAAGGTAAGATTAGAGACCCTGTTGAGAACAGTGGGATCCCCGCGGAAACAGGCATTTCTCTGGGCAGCCGCTGATGGAAGCCCGGAAGGCCACGGCGTGCCGGAAGGGCGCATGCGTCGTTAGCCTTTGGTGCTCTCTGGCGCCTGCCTTCACCCCCCTTTTAAAGTTTTTTGCTTTGTGTGTGTGAGTGAGTGCTGTCCAGTTTTTTTGAAACAACGTGGGGAATTAGGGCGGGAAGGCGTCGCTGAAGTTTTTTGTAGGACACTACGATCGTCTCTCAAAGGCAGGCAGAGACCTAGGTCAAGCATGTAATGTGAAGGGCAGGCAGCTCAGGCACCTCCCAGCTTGTCATCTGACTCAGACCGAGGTCTTTCCTCAGCTGATTTTTTTTTTTTTTTTCCTAATTCCGCCTCCTACTTCAGGATTGGAATCTAGTTTCCCTAATCAGCGACAAGGAACTGTGCAAATATGAGGTACAAAATTACGTCTTCTGAGGGCCTCCAGGATGCCAGGCATTTTGGAATTTAAAGAAAGCCAGTTTAGTGTTAGGTGTCCCCGTTAAGACTGGAATTGATAAATGGCAAAAAAACTAGTGAGTGGTAGAATTGGGATCCGAGGATGCAATATAAACACAGAGAAGGGACGTCAGTATTTTTAGCGTGGTGCTGACTGGTGATTTTTTAGAGTTAATCCTTGAGTTAATGTATCACAGAACAGGTATATGCTGGTGTTGCAACTTTCTAATGTGATATGAATGGGAGAAAAGATGTTGCCAAGTGGCACCTCATAAGAAGAGTAAGTACCCTGAAGAAGACTGATGAAATGGTTATAGGGCTAGAAAGAAAAATTAGTGATACTAAGGGGCCTAGAGCAGTGTTTTAGTGTAGGAGAGAGTCAGCTGCCCAATACTTCAGATGAGCCAAATGAAGGATGAGAAGTTAACTTAGCAATATGGAAACATTAGTACAAGTTCCCAAAAGTTGGGATAGAAGCCAGAATGAATGACTTCAAAGGAATACAAGTCTGAAAACCAAATAGGGATGTGAAATTTGAAGGAGTTGAAATTGAATAGACTTGGAAATGACAAGCTTCCCGATGAAGCAGGGAAGGTGGAGAGATTAGCCATGGGATGGTAGGACAACGAAAGATGAAATTATGCTAAAAAAAATTGAAAGTGGAAATCTCCAGATGAAGTCTCCAGCAAAGATAAGGTCATTCGAGTTTGTAAAGAACTTGTGGAAAGAGGTTCAACTTTGGAATAGCTACTGAAACACACCGAAGGGTAATGATAGAGACATGTTTGTCATCCCATTCTAAAGATTGTTATTTTTCTCCAACAGGGGTCTATAACTGGGATATGGGAGTGGAGGGGAGTTGGGTTAATCTAAGGTTGTGCATGACAGTGGTATAGAAGCAAGAGGCAAGAAATGGGAATGACTAAAATGCAATGTGTTGTTGTTTTTTACATCATTTTGTGACTTCCATCTCAGTTGTAATCACCGTGGACTTCCCACTACCAAGCCGTGTGCCATCACCATAGTCCAGTGTACTCCCCCCCGCCCCATTTTTGATCCCATTCCCTATTCCATCCCCGTAAAATGTCTGTGGTATATAGTTGTTCATTATTATTATTGCCTTCCCCCACACCCCTGGCCCTTTATGCTCCTGCTATGAGTGAAATCATCTGGTATTTTTTTTTCTTTCTGCCGTATTTCACTAAACATGATCTCTTACTGCTCCATCCATGTTGCTGCAAAGGGCATGTTTATTTTTGATTGCTGAGTAATATTCCATTGTATATATGTACGTCTTTTTAACCCAGTCATCTACTTTTGGGCATCTGGGTTGAGTCCATGTCTTTCTTATTGTAAATAAAGCAGCAATAAACATCGGGTGCAGGTGTCTTTTTGAATCAGTGTTTTTGTCCTTTGGGTAAATACTAGGAGTGGGATTGCTGGGGAAGCAGTTTGAGAAACCTCCAAAGAGTTTTCCATAGTGGTTGTACTAGTCTGCATTCATTCCCACCAGCAGTGCAGGAGAGTTCCTTTTTCAGATGTGGAGTTTTTTTAAAAAGAAAAGTGAAGCCAAAAGTGAACTGACTAGGAAAAAACACATCCCAAAGCTCATCTTCTGAAGGTAACTTCAGTGTCCCGAAGCATAAGGTGGCCAAGCCACACACATGTGATACCTTAAAAATTAGTGGTCAGAGCTGTACATTTTCAGAGGATTTCTAAAACTTAAAAGCCACTAACTTCTAATGCTGTAACAAAGGAAATGATAACAAAGGTTTTAAGTCAGGTGTTCATTTATTAAATACAAGTTTTTGAACAAACACCCCCAGGCAAGTTTGACCAGAAGTAACCTTCCTGGAATGTTTCAAAATACAGTTGTTGATCAAGTTTTATTTCAGTCCACCTTTTTGTTTTGCTCTTCATTTTGTTTCTGGATTCTTTTCCTGTTTAGCAGTTAGAACATGTGCATTATTTCCTCATGTAACATCAACAGTGCAGCATCAGCCTCTGACTTGCAAAGGCACCCAATAGACTTATGCTCTGTGCAATGGCTGCTTGGCAACCAGCATCAAATAATGAAGCTTTTGTAGAGTGATACCAAATAGCAACCGGCACCTTTGCCTTCATCATTAGAAACCTTTAAAGTTTCTTTCAGTTTTCTCAGACCTATTAAAAACTATTAAAAGAATACAAACCCAGACTGCTTGGTAAAGCCACTTAAATAGTTTTCCATTTAGTATTACCCTCTTGGTAAATAGTACCAGAGCTAATTAGAGAGTCTTCATTTTCTCATCATACTCCAGCAAAGCCAACAAAGCTAGGTTTATCAGAAATTCTGCTGTAATAGATTTAGAGCTGCTTCTGAGTTTCAAGAAAACAACATACCTTTTTAAGCTTCCAAGTGCATTTATGCACCATGTTGTACCAAGGTAATTTTTTGAGTCTCATTTTTGGGATGTTCCTAAATTACTTTAAGGAAAGGAAAAAGGCACAGAGGACACTTGGTTTCCTTACCAACAGTGGCCCTAAGCTATGCACTTGCCTTTGTGGTGAGTTTAAAGATATTCAGCAGCATTAATGGTGCCACAGCCGTTCATAAAAAGTTTCAGGAAAAGAGCTTGAAAAAAAAAAAGCTTGCCAGAAAAGACTTACAATCTGAAGACTAAATACAGAAATAGAACATACAGATACTAGAGGCAGCACTGAGGTTGTTAACTAGAAAGCTGCTGGGAACAGCTGCCTTTCTGAATTTTGTGCCCATTTTTCCTCCAATTTTCTCTTATAAAATTCTTGGCTTCCCCAAATGAAAACATACTATTAGACTGAGTTTGGAAGATAAATGCAAATAGGCAGAAGCTTATTATTTTCTATACAGTTCATTCTCAGAGGAGGAGAATAAATATGAAATTAAGCTCATTTCAAACCACATGTTAAAGGCCCAAGGAACACACTGAATTAATATCTTACATTCTGGTATTTGCAAAAGTCTTCGATTTCCTTTTCATCTATATACATAGTCACAGACAATATCTACTTAATACCTAGTATGGATTGTTCTCTGATTTGAACTTTTCAGCTGATACCATCAAAAATACATTAAGGCCAGCTTATAGCAACTTATGTTGGAACAGCATAGAATTACCTTATCTGGTTCAAGTAAGTGATGGTTAATAGTAAAGTCCTTTAAATGATGCAAAGACCCATTTCTAAATCATACCACTTTTCTTGCATTTCTGACACCTTTGGACTTTTAACTATATAGACAGTCCATAGGGCAAGATGCCTCCTTAGCATGTTATGCTGTGTAATTGACCAGGGTGGTCAAGTTCAATTTGTAAAAATGGGCCCATCTACTTACTACCTGGGGCCAAGTGGATCTGAAAAATGGCTTGTGGACAAGGTTGTGCTCAAATTCCTACATTGTTAATTCATCAGCAAAAGCTGATTTAGAAGCAGCACTTAAGTCAGGTCACAAGCCCAAACAAACATGAACTATATACATTTTATAGCTTCAGAATTTTGTCTAGAATGAGTATGTAATAAACATGGCTACACACCACATATATTTTACCATGGAAGAGACAATATAAAGTGGCACTGTTTACACTAGATCAGTATAAGAAAGCACATGGTGTGTATATATCTATATTGATAGACTATTGACATTAGTGTTTTAAAATAATATTTTTCATGGTTGCAAACTTGCCTAACTCTTCTACTCAAACCTAGTCCCTGTAGCAACAGATTTCCATAATATAACATGGGCCCAAAAGCCTGTGTTATTCTCTCACCTCAGAATTTTTTTAATAAGGTGTCAAAATTGCAAGTTTGATCTACTAGTCTTCCTAAAAATAATGTAGGCCTAAGTTTTGTGTGATAATGACAACCCCAAGGGACAGTAGTTTGTCTCCGAGTATCTCTGAGTTATACATAGTGTTAAGAGCTACCAACAGAAGTTGCATAAGATTCCTTTTTTTCTGTCATCTGATTAAAAAATACACTCAAACATCATGGCGATGCTTTAACATCACAGAGTTGTAACAAGGAAAAGGGCTGAGGCTTGGGTCATGAGGACCTTGATAATATAGGACTTTCTGATGATATCAGTTGTTAATGAAATATATGACAGCATATACTTAAAAGCAATGCTCACCAAAGATGTTTGAGCAGTTCTTAGAGGAGAAACAGTAGGGTAGCAGGAAGTCTTAGTAGTTGAAGTAATATAATTCAAGGTAGGAAAAGGAAGAAACAATAGGAAGAGAGAACAAAGGGTAAAAATTAGTGATTTCTGAATTTGGTGATGCTATATAATTAGTATAATTGCCTGCAAGCCAGGAGAGCTTTGTCAATTTCTTAGGAATCTTAATTATCATAATTTGAACAAGAGCAGTTCTTTAATTTAGTGAAAAAAAAAAAAAGGTCAGAATCATTAAGAGAGAAACCACAAACAGCTGTTTATCTACACTCTGGGGTTGGTTTTGGTTTGTTTAGTTCACAGTATTTATTCAAGTTGCTCTTTTTGTTGTTTCCTCTCTGCGAGCCATCGTTGGATTTTTTCTTTGAGTTCTGTGTTTGGCCGGATCTGGTCCATGGTGAGGGGACTACGGTTAAAGGGATCTGTTTGGTCACTGGAAAAAAGAGAGAAAGGAAAACAGGGTTATTTCCATAAAGCCTCCCATCCTAAGCCAAAAATAGTATACCTGGACACCTCACTTTGAGACTGAAGCTACAAGAGTGCATCATAACATTGAGTCAGGTACTGACTGGAAGTTAGAAAGAATGTGATGAGAGTGATTTAGGCTTTTTTCCCTTCTTTAAAAGACTATATAGTTTTGTCTCTCTGCTGCTTTACAAACTATCTCAACATGACTACCCAGATATTTGATCTGATTCCCCTTCATATTCATGTTAGCGTTAAAGAGCTATTTGTAGTTTTAGTAATAGACTCCCAGTAACTGTATAACGTAGTAAAAAAGAAACTGACACTTGATTTAGTTAGTTGACTATTACACAAGTAAATTTTGCATATGCTGATTTTCTACAGGTAAAAGGATTTGTAATTGACTTTATGGGCTGATATATCTTCTCTCGGTATACTGAGGCCACAATAAAATATAAATTCTCACTTGACACAATGGAAAAGACATACCACCTAACATACTATCTTGCATGTAATGAAAACATAAGGCTAAATATCGTGAAGCAGAAAATTCTTTTCATATTTAAAAAATTTCATTTCCTTAAATTTGAATAAATGTATATAATTGAATTTTAAATAGGCAGTCTCTTAGTACCTATGTCTATCTAATGCTTAAAAGAGCATACAGGCTAAGGAAAACTCAGATCATCATGGCCAAGTACAGCAGCGGTGGTAGAATGTGAGTTAACTGCTATGCTGAAGAGAGTGTAAAACATGAACTGAAAAGACAAGCCATCGTTTTATATTTTTACAGCTAAAATAACATTAAAACAATGTGAAGTTAACTTGTATTTGAGACTGATATGATTTCTGATATATAGTGATAGTGATTTCCTTAAGGAAGAAAGAGGTAAGATTAGAGCCAGTATTTCTCAACAGGGTTTCTTATGTTGGATGTTTAAATCCTTAACAATACAATGATATACCTCCATCAAGCCTGCTCAACATACTGGGGCACCTACTAGGTGCCTCGTGCCTTGTCTGAGAGAAAAAGAGGACAACAAACACATACATGTGTGTTCTGAGGCTGCTTTTTGGAGGCTAGTGTACCTGAGCAAATGTCTGGCAATGGTGGACCTATCCACAGTGACTCTAGAAGACGGAAGCACCACAGGGTCAGACATCAGGGTGCTCATGATGGGGTCCAGGAACTCATCACAGGCATCTGCATATGTCTCCTCTTCCTGCTGCTGCAGGTCTGCTAGAGACTGAGCACAAAACACGTTAAGGTGAATTTACAGAGCTACTGAATTCAGAATGCCTAACAACTAGACCTTCATCTTAAGGGGTCATTAATAAACTTTACAGTGAAATGACGACTGTCAGATTTATCTTCTCAAGAACAAATCAAGATGGATATTATAAAAGCAACTTTAGCATTCAGCTCCGACTCTGAAAATTCTATTTGCTAGAAATCATGACTGGAAATGGGTATAAGTGTTAATAGGTAAAAAAACCACATCACATACAACATCCTTATGGCAACAGTCCTGTTTTAAATGTCATATTTCAAAAAAGGGAAGGGGGTAGGCGGGCTATTATTTGCATAATTATAGTCACTCAAGCAGTTCCTGTATGAACATCAGTTTCTGGTTTTAGGTGCAAATAAGTGTTGGAATTTAAAAATGCCTTCAACATTTAGTTCCTTCACGACTTCAGATCCTCAGGGACCCAATGACATCAGCTCCTCAGAGACCCATTTGGCTAAACTTTAGGTAAGGATGAAGCCCAACTCAATAAATAACTCAGTGAAGAGGAGACTGAAAAACCAAGAAGGTTTTCTAAGGCCCGTGCCACGATTTTACCTTCCTCATACTGCTAAAAGAGTTTGTCATACACCAATCAAAGGGATTAGAGGAATGCTTATTCATCTAAATAATAAATAAGTAAACAAACAATAGGGTGTTTATTTTTTATTTTTAACCCCTTCACCTATTTCTTTCTTCCCTCATCTCTGGTGCAGTCATTCAATCTTTAAAATATATGGATATTTCAGTATAAGCCAACTATCAATTACAAGTATAGAGAACAGAAAATTAAAAATCACTGAATAAAAGCTATCAATCTTGAATTTTATTCTAAAATGCTTTTCTGCATTAGCATCCAGATTTTAAAATCTCATGTAGAAGTTTCTTAAATCAATTTTCTGTCCTCACCCTCATGTCAGAAAGAGCAGTTCTAGTTTTTATTTATTTGTGCATACAGAACTTGATACAGGTCAGAGGTGCAGGGGTGGTGAGAGGATTCACCAGCGACAGAGTGGGGAGCAGAACAGGCAGACTGACGAAGTACACTGCTGAGGGGAGCAGCAGGCGGGTCAGGAGAGGTCTGCCTGGGCCATGTGGGTCACCTCTGGGGCAGGAGGAGATCGAACTCATGTGGAAGTGGCTTCTGATTCTTAGTGCTGCGCTTTAACCCACTGCACCACCAGGGAGGGCCTAGTTTTTATTTTTTTTTTTCTAGATTTACTTATTTATTTATTTGATAAAGAACTTGGGTATAGGCCAGAGGTGTGGGAGGTGACAAGACTCACCAGACACAGGGCGGGGAACAGAATAGGAGGAGCCAATGAACTATACTGCTAAGGGGAGCATGGGTGAGACAGGAGAAGCCTACTGTTCCATATGTGAATTAGCTCCCTGGACCAGGATAGAACTCAAGCTGCAGTGGCAAAAGCATTGAGATTTAACCCCTAGACACCAGGGAGGCCCCAAGTTCTAGTTTTTGACTGGTAAGAAAGAACTGTCGATTTATATTTTCTTATAGCAATGTTCTTTCCTCCCTGAAAAAGGGTAAAAAGCAGCACAGCTGCATTGACAATGTGTTTTTTATTGAATATATTAATAAAGAAGTTACCCTCCTGTTTACCTTAATTCTCTCTGCTAAGTTGCTGAAAGCTACAATCATATTCCCAGGCTTATTTATTTTCTTCAGAACTCGGACTGTCTGTGCAAAAAGAGTTGGAGAATAGGAACGTCCATCCTTGGGCACAGTGGCACAGAAATTCTCCTCATCCCTGGAATGTCAACAACAAAGAGAAATGAGTATCAAAGGGTAGGAGATAATGGAGGGGGGATAAAGAAGGTTTCCTGTTACTTCTATGCCAGTGTGCTTTTTTTTTTTGATGAGAGAATAAAGAACAAAACATTTAATAAAACATGCATACCTCTTGTATACATGGGAGAGAGGGAGAGACTCAGTAGAAACTGAGTAGCACCATGAATGTCATTTTGATAGAGGATTTCTTATTTTTAGGAAGAAAGTCTAGCAAACATCCTGTGGCTTTAAGAGAATACTGTTTTCTAAACAGCGGCACAACCAGTAAAGTTTAACTTTGCACAGAGCAAGACAAATGTTGGAAATTCTACACAATGTTCCACAAGTCACATGAAAACTCATAAATGAAAGCTACAGAAGATTCCTTTATCAACCAACAAGAGAACTGCTACTTTCCTATTTCCACATAATTACCAGTCCTTCATTCCAAAATCAAATCCTCAAATTAAAACATTCACATCCCCTCTGGCTTGCCCAATTTTAATCTCAGATACCCAAGATTTAAGTAGATGGTGCAGATATCTGATACGAGTTGCTGGGGTTTGAAGTCAAATTCACTGAAGTCCTTGACTTTTAAGGCTCCCATCTTGGGGCCCACCAGGTGCTGCAGGAAGTAGTTGAGCATGGAGATGATGCGCTCGGCCAGGAAAGGATGCACAAAGAGTGATTTAATTTCTGGAAAAAAACCCAAAGGTTTGTGAAAATCCATTAACAATCTTTTTCTTGTTATGTTTTAGTTTTACTTGGAGACCTTTGGGATTGACTATTTTTAAAAATGATATAACTAATATATTTTCATTGCAGTGTTACCAGTAAATTTAGATACACAAAAGTGGATAAACAAAATACAAATTATCACCCAGAAATTAACATTGTTCACATTGTGCTAATATAGCCTTCTAGTTTTTCTGCCCATATTTACACATATGCACTAAAACAAAATGATTATCATATTATACATATTTAGTAACTTTTTTCATAAGCTGCACCACAAATATCTTACCATTGTAGTAAATGCGTATCCCTATTCTATCCAATATGGTAGCCACTGGCCACATGTAGCTATTTAAAGCTAACATTTCCCCACTCATATGTCAGCCATGGGCATTATTCTTCATGAAGGTTTGTTAATGATTCACTTCCCTTGAAGACTGTGGGGAATATTGCCATCAGAGTCTGAATGCTATTTTCAGCTGGGCCTAGTGCTGCAAATGGAGCAATATTGACCCCTACATTTTTTGGGAAAAGTACTTCATTTCTTACCTGATGTCAGAAAGGCAAGGGTACCAATTGTTTCATTGGACATGATGTTATGGAATCGTGCTAGCTGTCCAAACATCTGTAGACCAGCCTCCTTCTCTCGGCGAGCTTCTGGACTCAGACTATCCCATTCACCTCGATCCTTCTCAATTTGTTGAATCTTTATCTTGCTTAAATACTACAGCAACCAGAGGTGGGATGCAGTGGAGAAAGAAGGAAAGATAAGAGGTTCTTTTTAAGATCCAGTTCACTAAGATAGGAAAAGGAGGAACAGACATGACCTTTATTTTTGCACATAGGGCTAAAGCTTACAAATAAATTGTGGGAAAGAAAAAAGAAAATGATATTGTGGTTTCATATAGATTTGTTTCAGCATGGGTAGACTTATAAGTAATTCCCCTAGAAACACTATATAAGAGGAGGAGGATAAATAGTGTAAATACGAAACCAACTGAACAAAAAAAAAAAAAAAAAAAAACAGTGAAAAATAAAACGAATACTTTCTGAAAGATGGGGTGGAGACTGGGGGGGAGAATGCCACACAGGGCCTCCCTGGTAGTGCAGGGGTTAAAGTCTCAGTGCTATCAAGCTATTGATATTCACTATGGCAGGAGTTCAATCCCCAGCCAGGGAGCTGACACACACAGGATAGCAACCCTATCCTGTCTCACCCGCTGCTCCCCTCAGCAAGTGTATTTCAGTAGATCTGCCTGTTTCCCTCCCCACTCTGCTTCTGGTGAATCCTCTTACCCACCACATTTCTAGCCTACACCCCAGTCCTTAGATGCAATAATAAGTAAAAATAAATCTTAAAAAAAAAAAAAAAAATGAAGGAACACTATCTAGCAGGCCACAATGGCAAGGTTGGCAATACATCATAAACTCACAAATTTCTAATGTCCAAAGTAAGTTAAGGGGTATAACAATTGCTTGATTATGATCAAAGGGTAAAAAGTATGTATTCATGAAGATTTAATGGTGGAGAGGCAATGCAATCTGCTTTTCTTTCTTGTACCTGTATGGCTTCATCCAGAAGGAAGATGGCATCATTCATTAACAGATTAAGAAATCGGAGGAACAGTGGGGGATTCATGGCTTCTAAATTCTTAGAGGCATAGTCAGCCAAATCCTGTAAGTCCAACGCAACAGACAGTCATTCTAGTATGGAACCACAACTCACTGGAACTTATTTGAAGCAAAACTCAGATAACTTTGGTTTCACTAGGAACTCTCTCACCTTAATGCTCTCTCGATATGGATCTGTTCCCCACATGTACTTCAGGATGGGGTACATGGGACGGCGGTAATTAAACTTCTGTTCAAATTGATGTGGATCTCCTGGAGTGGGATTTAAGAACAAAAACCAAAAAAGGTGGTGCTGTTAGAGAGAGAGTAAGAGCTTATGTCTATTGAAGTCATTGTCTTTTATTCTGCATGTAATAGGGCTGGGGGATTTATATAAGCCTGGAGTTGTAGCCAGCGTTTAACGTAAAGGATATCTTATACAGATATGAACAAGGACCAAGTTGTACAATAAAAACTAAGGGAAACAAATGCTTTCATACCCAAATACAGAACATTGATCAGACTCTGAATGAGGCCTCTGAGCTGAGCATGTGGCAGATGGGACAGCCATGTGCAGAAGGGGGTAGTAAGTAATCCCCATATTCTTCAGAGATAGTATCCCACTGGGCAGCCAATTAGTTCATGATTATTCTGAAAATTCAGGTAAAGAGCTAAAAATTGGAAGTATGTGCTGCTTTTGACATGTAATACTATAACTAGAGCTCTAGAGGTTAGGCTGCCATATTAAAGGAAGAAAATGGATCTTGAATCAGAAGGCCTGGGTTTTCCCACTTAATGCAAATCTCTTAACCTTTTTTAACTTCCACTTACTCAGAAATAAAACAAGAATTATGATACATCCTCTACCATTACAACCCTTAATCTAAGTGTTGTAATGGTCACATGATGGCATAACTGCAGTGACTTATTGTGCAATTTCTTACGTATTATGAATAATTTACATGCACTTAATCATTTTAATCCATTTTACAGATA